CAATACAGACACATTTTTAATATGTAGAAAATTGGACTGCACACACCTGGATTAGCATTTCAGAGAAAGACAACATTTACGCACTATAATGAATACCAGACAGGCATTGTAGACCAGCGTCACCTAAACATTCTGCTCTTCCAGAGCAGAGTAACTTCTAAATACAAACACAGTAAATAATAATATGTCTCCAACATCACTGTGTATTCCTTCTTCAAACAGCACAAATGACCACAGCAGCATATGTTTAATTGACACATTAAGATCAGGAAAAAGAAAGGCCAGTATTCAAATTCTCACTTCAGATTTTTCATTATCTGTTCACTGCAAAATCTCCTGCTTGTAAAGATGCATCAGCACTATCAAATGCACACACTTAAAAACCTGCTTTTCGAAATCATCACTAGCCACTTAAGAGAAACCTTTAAAAAGATGAGACACTGGATGTTCCAATAAGTTAAAATAAGACTCTACATAATGCATGCGGGAAAGCCCAGCAGCAAGTGGAGAGAATAATGATGTGTTTAAAACATGTTTTTTCCAGGAACAAGGATACAGCCATGCATGTGGCAACGGGGCTTATTCACCACCAGCACAATTCTCCACACAATTCGTGCGTCCACAGGACTATAACCCTTGGGGCATGATCTGACTGACTGGCTGGCTCTCGCTCACTTCAAAGGCAGGAGAGCAGAATAAATGGAGTACGCTTGGTGAATCAGACACTCACCAACCCTTAAGGGGTCAAAATTAAATGCGAGTAAAACGGGTCAAGCAAACTGCCACTGCTGAACCCTGAGGCTCATGGACACTGGAGGAAATTAAAGAACACAAGGAACATATTTAGAATTTTTTTTTTAACGGCAACTACTATGAAAGCTGTACCAAAGTGACCATTAATATTAGCAAATGTATACTAAACATAACAGCTGAGAGTGTTTGATAGTGCTGTTATAAAGCTTAGGCTTTTCCTAAAACTTAATGTGACCATATTATTTTAAAATCAAGAGAGAGTATCGGGATGTTTATATGTCTTAGCCTATATCTGTTAAATGTAGCATGGGGCTGAACAGGATTAGCTGGCATAATGGGTCCTTAAACAGCTGCTTAATCATTTTGTGCTAAGAACAGGACAACAATGATCTCTTGCTTACACTTACTCTTCCCAGTTTGCCATTCTACCACTATAACAGAAGCTTTGCAGAGCAGGACATCAAAAGAAAACAAAAGATGCATGCAGCATTAATATTCTGATATCTGCATGACACACATTTATCAAATGTACCAGAGCAGCTCACCTATGCATATGATTATATTTATACGTATATGAAAAAACTGATGCTAGATCAACACTCATGACGGGTTTGATAAATATGCCCCATTTCAACTTTACCTAAATGTGTTTATGAAGGTTACGCCACTTATTTGAAAGAAGCAGTTATAAAAACACAAAAATCCAAATGCCTTTAAAGAAAAGGTGGCAGTGTTAATTTTTTCTATTGCTAATGCTGTTGCAACATCAGTGCTGCAACATGTCTGCTGTGCAATGGGTTTACCCATACAATACGTTTTGCACAAGCTCAGAACTGTTTTGAAGACCACATCAGACAACTGTGTTACGGGATATTTGCGTGATTGCACTCATAACTCATACCCCGTGCCGAAACAGAGCAGCCATGCATTGTGTTACGCCTGTGACAACAGGTGGCAACAGTAAAACGTGGGGTCATGTGAGATACCACAACTGCCATCAAGCCACCTTAATAAAACACGGATGTAGCATGCTTCATTTTTTCGTCTCAACTATGTAACAGACTTGGGGTAAATGTCTACCCGTGCACATGGTTCCTTTCCTCTTTTGTGGCTTTTCTTGCTAACATCAGGGTTGGAGCGCTATGTTTCACAGAAACGCCAGCATTATCGAATTGGTTTAAAATTAGACTTAATGGAGCTTTTAGCGAAATGACCTTAGCTCTCGGAAGAACGTTTCCCAAGAAGCTTAAGGGCTTAGAAAAGGTTAAAAAGGAAGCGAAAAGTGATTTGAAGAGGAAAAGAAGGTGTCACTTCAGCTTTGCTGAGCCTGTTCTTTCACCAAAACATATACTAAGGAAACAAAAGGATTTCACAGAGGAGTAAGCAGATAAACAGGCGACAATTTGATACCAAAAGTATAATTAGATCATGTGAACATTTGATTAAGTGTGGTGAGCTGATATAATTTGCTTTAAAGTCTACACTGTGATCTGTAACTGACAGCACACTGCTAAGCAAGTTACACAGTATTACCCTCCTCTTGTATGCAAATATAATAAACTGTCCTATTTTGCTTCATTCAAGCTCTGATCCACCCTTGGTACTTCCTGCTAAGAGAGCCTACCTACCAGAATCGCTTCCTGACTCAAAGAACAAGTAAAATGTTCAGTGGGTGGATAAACAATGATGCCACACAGAAGAGTACAATTAAAGACACTAAACAGATAAGCAAGGAGTAAGTAAAGACAGAAAAAGGTAAAATATAAAAACTAGTGCAGTAAAGTTTTAATGTCTTTCTGTACACATCTACAGACTACAGACATTAGGGCCAAACAACATATTTAAAACTCTCCACTGAAATACAACTTGTATAACAAAAAAATCATCTAGTCCAATTATTTAATTGGTATTTACTATGTGATTTACTTAATGGGGGTGTTTCTGCAAGTACAGGACTTTTTAGCAGCGTGAGAACCTCATCACCACATCAAAAGAGAATTTTACGTGTACAAATTTAATACAAAATTTCACAATTTCTAAAATTTTACTCCTGTTAAAATTTGTCTTTACAGTGACATGAAGTCTTTGCACCAGCAGTGTAAAATGTAGTGGTAAAGACACCACAGCGAAGACATCTTCACTATTTGAGAATAAACAATAAATTTATATTACATACAGTTACATTAGCTTTGGCAGATCACTTAAAATATTTGAAAGTAATAAATATGACTGCTTTAAAGATCTAGTTCAAAGCATATTACATATTAGCTACACTGTAAGAACAGAAAATATGGACTATAAAAAGACAATATTTACTCTGCATTTCTGTGACTAGGTCTCCCACGGCTTGCCCACATGCTTTTTTGCTAACTAATGTTTTCACTGAAAATAGGTTAATTTGACTTTGAAAAAACATATTTTGGATCATCTGGTCTTTTGCCTTGGTAAGAACATTTGTGGGACAGATACAGCCAAAAGATTAAAGACAACCACTCATGTTCAAATTTAACATTTATACATTACATCTTTTCAATTAAACCTGCAATTTTGTAATTCAGTAACTTTTCACAAAGACTGTATAAAACACATTACTTTCTCATATTATTATATTTAGCTTCACAATTTGCATGTGTGCATGTATTATGACATACATGTATAGTGAGAAAATAAATTCTATGCTTTATGCTAAAAATGTGAACACATTAAAAAATCTACTGCTGAGACCTAAAAAGTCTGTAGTTGCAGAAACACTTGTGTCTATAACAACTTGCGCATAATGTACCTATATTCTCCTGCTTCATGCTAAAGCTTCTACATCACTGATTTTTTAAACGCTAAGTCTACACTTAAACTTTTGTTCTGTCTATAAAATAGACCTTCATAATGCTTGAGGTACTGTGTGCTTGTGACTTATAGTGATATTACGTAAGCATTATCCAACAGTCCAAACCAATCTAGAGTGCACTAATGGCTCTTTAATCCTTTACGAAATGATAAGACGGGAGAAGGGGGGTTGTTTTTTTATTTTGTCTCTCCTTTATTTCACCCCTCCCAGAGAAAGATCAGGCCATGAATTCAAGAAGTAAGAAGATAAAGGATATGATGTATGTGGGGTGCTTATGTTGCCTTCTTTATCAAAGATCCTATGACGTCCAGTGAGACGGATTACAATGATTGCATTTAAATCTCGGAGCACTGGAGTGAAAACCCTTTTCTACGGCAGGCTGTACAATCCAGCTCAAAGGATGCAACCCAAAGTCTCTTTAGGCAGACCTCAGTTTTGCACAAGCACAGCCATGACATGCAGCCTCAAGGGCCAACCAGATTAACAAAAACTGAAGGAAGATAAGCATTCAGGCTTTAAAGCAAAGAGAGAAGTGGAACTTAAGCATTTTAAGACACTTCTGTTCCGTCTTATTTCAAAATACAGCATCTGGCTGACATGATGAGCAACAAATACGTCTTGCATTACACTAAGATTAGCAAGCAGAACTACAGATTTTTTTTTAGTGCAATGAGAAGAAGGAAGAAATGTTTCTCACCCTCAACTAATGCTACTTTAAGGTGTCAAAAACTACCATGCTTGAGTTATATTTCACTAATGTGTAGGAGAAAAGGAATGGACGTAAAATGTCTGTAGCATGAGGCCCCACAACACGTGCTAGGAGAGCAGTGGCTGCATAATGTCGGACAGTTCTTGATTAAATCTTTAAAATTATTTCTTGAAAACATATTACAAATATTTCTTTTAGGCCGGATCTTCAAACCAAGGACTTCTTTTGGTACCTTACAAAACACTCTTATGTCTTACTAGTAACATACCAAATGCACACTCAACTGATAATATTCTACTTATCAATATTCTGCCACAGCTTGTCTGTGAAAAAGAACTGTTACTTATCACTACAGCACGTGAATATACATAAAAGGCTTCAGATATTCTGACTCTGTTTTGGCTGCAAATAAATCCTTCTATCAAACACCAGACACACCCCTAAACTGACAAAATGCAGCACAACCTAAAATATCACTCATAATAAAAAACAGACAAATAAGCCAATCCCTTCTATCTCTACGTGATTTAGTGACACAGCAGGATTTCAGATTGAACATTTAATGATGGTCTTTTCAGACATCGAAAATGTTTGGTCTGTGCTAGGCTAAACTCAGATGAAAGTACCCTGCCATATATCATAACTGTAATTTACATGTGCATGAACAGTGAAGGTGTAAAGAGAGCTCCTTACCTTCAGGATTTCTCCACGTTTAAAACTTAGCTCATCATCTGCAGTCGCTTTGAAATCATACTTGGCAATGGCCTCCATGATTCAGCGTGACGGACACCTACAAGAGACTAAACTACAGCAGAGCAGTCGAAAACGTCTGTTTTGTGAGAGTTTGTTCCCCTGTGGCAGACTGAATGAAGACAAAAGATGTCTCAAGTGGGAACACAAGGGTAGATCCAGGACAGATGCTGCAAACGGTGGCTCCGAATCGCTGACCCGCGTCTCTCCTTCTCTATCCTCACATAAAGGTCACGGTGAGGCGCCTGCAAATGAAAGAAGCGTGTAAGTAAAACTGACACCGAAGCAAAAACGAACAGATTGAATATACGCTGTTCAATGGGCCGCGCCCACGATACGACTGGTATTAAAAACCCAGCGCTCCCTATAAAGAGGAAGGAAGCCCGTCTGCCTGACATTTCCAGCGACCAACTGCGCTCTCCGAACACCGCTTATCGTCCAATCAGGAACGAGCACAGAGAACAGCTGTCCAATAAGGAAACAAAAAATCAACAGACACTCATCCCATTGGCTGCAGGCAGTCTGGCATTAGACCAGTAGCTGGTTAGAAGCACGCAGCCCCCAAAAAACGAGAGAGAGACGAAGCACGATGACGACATGGCGCAAAGGCACATGCACAGATTAGCGTTTCGCGAGCAGAGCTCTTTAAAGAGGTTCAGCTCAAATACAGCACATTAAGGAGATTTAATAACAATCCGACGATTCCATCAGATCCATCGAGCCTACTGAGTAAATAACAAGCTAACTTACTGTAACTTTTACCAATGCCAACTTTACGATGCAGCGGGCTATACTGGCTCTAGCGTTCACGGAAAAATGTGAGGAAGACTAACTTAGCTAACTAATAATCACTTTGAAATAAATGTTGCATAACCTTTACCTAAGGATGCTTTATGGTATTTTAACTCGTTACGTAACATTAAATGACTTTTCCATCGCTGACAATTCCTTACAAATCGCAGCTGTCTACGCAGTTCAGCCTGCCAGAAAAAACACTAACGTAACGTTACTGCTAATAATCACAGAATTATCATGTACAAAATCACGCTCAACATGGCCTTAAATGGTACTTAATATAACACAACACCGTAAAACATAGTCGTAATAGTTATTTAAAAGGCAACGAAGAGTGTCGTTACAAAGTCCGCCAAAGCTCACCTAACGTTACGTTCACCAACATTAACGTTAACTAGAATGTTCGCTAACTGACTAACGTTCATTTGTCATCGCACCAGCCAAGCCATGTCAGCCAACTCGCTAACGCTTTAAAACGTCAAGTAACGCTCCTCAGACATTTCTAATGTAACTAAAGAAAAGGGGGAAACCTAGACAAATGTGTTTTATCGCAAAGCTTCGACGGCAGCGCACCCCAGCTAGGAAAGCGAGCCTCCGCCAACAACCAAGTGATTTGTATCGCTGTGCCACCACCACGCTAACGTGGCATATTTTCAGTGACACAGACATAACATAAGTCGAAATAATGAGTATAACAGACCAACCTGAATGTACGAACACGTTCTGAACAACAAGTGGTCGGCGAGCGCTGACTATATAACATTTCAGGCAACAAAACGCATTGGGCAGCTAGCAGCGAGCTAACGACTCAGGCGGGCCGCTGTAACTGTAATGCTAGCGTTAGCTTGTTTTGCTAACTCTACGTTAGCCAGCGAGCTAACGTTATCTAACGCCGTGGCGTGAAGAAAACCCCTCACGTTTCAGCGGTTTGTCAGCGAGAAATACTGAAATAAGTTCCACTCACCCTCGTGGGAGGTCTTCAGTCCTTTTTAAACTCACTTTAAATCCCACTTTGAGTAATATTCAAACGCTACGCTTATTTTCCCAGTAGACTGACTACGGAAAGTCCGCTTCGCCGTGATGAACCTTCGGCCAAACGCTTGTTTGGCTTTGCTAGTTTTGCGACGTAAGTTTCCTGCGTTTCCGCTTCCTCAGGAGGAGACTGCTCACTTACACGGGTTCAGTCTGCCACCGGCCGACCGACCCTCTAACTGACACTCCAGTACAATTAAAAATACGAGGTAAACAGATGATTCAGTTACAGATGGGATTTCTCAGTTACTTATATATGAAATTAATAAGGCCTTAAACGTACTGATATGTAGGGCTGAAAGATGAATCGATTTTACATCGAAAAAGTCATTTAAGAGAGAGCAATTTTCAAACCACAAGAGCTGCAATTGCTTAAAATTATAGTCTACATTATCAACAACTATGTCTTAAGTTTGAAATGGGGAAATTTAACCTATTAACACAGCTTGTAAAATGCCTGTGGATGAGTGAGACAAATCAGAGGCAATGGTTTATGTGTTGTGACATCACAACCACAGCTTACTGGCAGTCTAGCACACTACATTCAGGGTCCAGGCATCAAGCCAGAAAAATGGATATTCTGATCTTATCAGCATAAATGAATGAATGAATGAATAAATAAATAAGACCTGAACCCTAATTTAGAGGAGAATAAGAAAATAATCACAACTTAAATTGCAGTCACAATATTAGTCAGAAAAATCACATTTAGATTTTTTTCCCAAATCGTTAAGCCCTACACTCTTAAAAAGATGGTTCTTCAAAAGTTCTTTGGTAAAGAAAATGGTTCTATATAGAACCATGAACACTCAAAGAATCCTTTGCATGATTAAATGGTTCTTTGAAACTTGAAAGTGTTCTTCAGATTGATGGAGAATGTGCTATAGATGGTTCTATATAGAACCCCTTTAAAAAGGGGTTCTATATAGCACCAAAAATGGTTCTTCTATTGTTACAAGCTTGACCGTAAAAATAGAAGAAACTTTTTCTATATAGAGCCATCTAAATCACATTCTGAAGAACGCTTTCATGATGCAAAGAACCCTTTAATCATGCAAATGGTTCTTGGAGTGTTCATGGCTCTATATAGAACCACTTTTTTTTTTACTAAAGAACGCTTAAAGAACCATCTTTTCTAAGATTGTAGCGATATATATATATATGATATGAAAGTGCTGAAGCATTTGGTTTGATTTTACAGTGGTGGTGATAGGAACCAGGGGTCCTGATGTCTAGAACACAAATATACACATTCTATTTGCTATCTAGAATGTCCAATGGATGTACATGTTTTCTGAGTTTATATGTGTTGTCAACTATGGTTAAATAGTGGTAAATGCGATAAAATCTGTTTTATTCTGGGACTATTTAGCCTTACGACACCCTGCATGTACCTCTCCAGCATGAATATATTTTAAAAAATATGTTTTATCCCAAAATCTCATCTCAAAACTATCATAAAACAATCTCAGATTGCAAGGAACATGTTCATAAAACATTTCTTGTAATAACTTTGTGATGTAGCTGTTACAGGCTTTAAACACTTTGGGCATCTGGTTCCTTTCACCAGAGCTGTGAACAGTTCAGAAGTTTAGTGGGAACTTACAATTTCACATCAAACCACTCTGAATGACTTTGTACTTCTTAACGATTGAATTATGAAGAACATTTTGAAACACTGATAGAATCCCCCGAGAGTGGTCTTTTTAGTCATAACAGCCCTGTATGCACAGGGCATGATGTTTTCTGAACGACCATAAAATTGATGAATTGGACTTTCAAACGAAACTCAGCGTAGCTGAAGACCACAACAGAGACTGGAGACACTCTCGAGGCTTGTAGAATCAATGATTGAGTTTTTAACCTTGATGGCCGCTCTGGATTCCCAAGCTGCCATCAAATGACATATTGAGCTGTATTGACCTCTCGGTGGAGTCTGTGAATGAGAGCTGTCCTGACAAAAGCAAATCCATTAGAGCAGAAATGTTCTGGCACAGTATATTTACTACACTAAGCAGGATGGTTAATTAAATTATACGTCAATTTAATAACCATGGTTTGAACGAACCACAGTTTTCATGTAATGTTCTCAGGTTTCGCATTGTTTTTCCCTTCATAGGGTTGTAGGTGCCAAATGTAGCTGTATTTGTGGCATTAGCCAATTTGAAAATGGATTTTATCAGCGAATTATGTAGTTTATGCAGGTTTGGGATGTGTTTGTCGATGCCATGGGTCTTACTTATTTACCTGTAGATAAGTAACTTGATTTGATTTTGTTTTCAGTCTTTCCCCGTTTCTACAATAGTACTAAGTCTACTGTACTGGACTCAAATAATCCTGAAACATTGGCATAGAATAGACTTCACAAACCACTGAAATGTTGATTTAGCTGTAATTCAGAACTTTTATGTATTTTCATACATCAAACTGCATGTGTGACTCCTTCTTGAGGACAGGCCTTATTTCTCCATTTGCTCATTTGCTAGTTGATAAATGTAGTATCTAACAGCTCTGCTAACAGTAATAGCTTACGTAATGTCCCTTAAGTGAGATTCAGGCACCAGAATGGCCTTATAGGCCTAATAGTAACAGCCATTAAAGACTAAAGTGTATGGATAATCATTAGGACACCATAACAACTGCAGAACGGGCCAAGCTTTGTAGTATAATTTATAAAGGGAGTCTGGCCCACGCTATAGTTTATTGATCCCACAAAGTGCAACACATCCAAACTCTAAACCCCCAGGCCTGAGGCACAAGATGCAAAGATGAAGATAAAAAACAATTTCTGGGCCCATGCATTTCATCTACCATCTACTGTTACATGAGTGGGAAAGGCAGAGTAGTGAAGACATGAAATATGTATTTTACTTATATTAAAGGACTAGGCAAACTGATTTTTTATAACAAGTGAGTGCAGACCTGATTTCTATACAGAAGTGATAACCATGAATTCTACTTGAGCGGCCTGACCTGATAGACTGGCACACCCTTTAAAATGGATTCAACAAAGGGGGTGAACAGCCGTAGTTGAAAACTGAAATATTCTTACAACAGCATAGAGCACCTCAGCTCTGATTGGGCAGAGACAGCACAAAGCAAGTACGTACTATGTACTATGTAAATTGTGTATTTTTATAGAAAAAACACTATAAAATAGGATGTGCTGCTGTGAGTCACAATGTAAGACATTAAAGAATGATGTAAAAGTAAGAAGCATCGGGACGGATTTCACGGGTGGTTTTCAGACTACGTCTTATGTCTTTACATATTAATGTCACACCCACAGACTCAAAAAGATGGTCCAGCTCAAAGTCCTCTTTGAATACTTTTTCAGTGCACACACAATCATCAGATTAATCTGCTCAGGGAAGGGTCCAAAATACAACTGATTAACGTTCTTCTGCACATGTGTGCAATTACACATTTCCACCATAAAGATCTCCAGATCCCCAAAATCTACATACGTCATTTAACGTCAACACAAAGCAAAAATGATCACATTTTCCTTTAAAGCTCAAATGTCTTTCTGAGTAAAAAATGGTAGTAGGGAGCATCTATGAGTAAGCTGAGCGTTTTCACTTGATGATAAGTGGTAGAGGTGATATGTTATTGGTTAATATTATTTGTCTCCTCCTGCTGGTGCACAGTGATGTAATCAAAACTCACTATACTTTGATCACAGATTACAGGAAACATAATACGCATAATACGACCAAAAATATGAACTAATGAGACAAAAAAAGGTCAATTTTGATTTCTGATTTCAAAACTGTCCTATCTGAGAAGAAGTATGAGACAGTCCTGCTGGACAATCTTGATTTCTGGCTTAAAGCAGAATACCACTGATTTTCCCACTTTTAATGATAAAATCACTAAGATGTAAAAGAGAAAGTTATTCAGAGTGGTTTAATGTGAAATGCTCTATTCTATAGAAGTTAGAATTGTTCACAACAGTGATGATAGGAACCAGACATTTGAAGAATCGAATTTTTTAGAGCCTCTGAAAGCTTACTATGAGCGGTTACATGAAAATGGTTTTAAATATGCTGCCTGTGATGTTGTTTTACAATAGGTGTAACATCCTTTCCTGCCCTGTCCTCGTCTTTCAGCCTTTGTTTTCTTGTTCCGTGTGGATTTGTTGTTATTTTAGTCTGTGTCTTCTGCCTGGTCCTGCCTCTATGTCATTTGTCCCACCTGTGTGTAGTTTGTGTAGATCCTCTGTTTCCAGTTTGTTCCATGTGTGTTTGTTCCCTGGTTGTGTGCTTTGTGTTTGCTTTTTTTGTTATTTCTTGTTTGTTTACCAATTTACTTCATGTCCTTTTGTCTTTTGTTTTCTTTCTGCCTAAGAATTTTGTCATTAGTATTCCTTATTTGTTTAGTCACTTTTGCAGATTCAATTTCTTCAGTGTTTCCAATACATCAAAGGACTTGCACATGCATCCTGCCTCTTTGTCTCCCTTTCCTACACTCTATTAGTTCTCTAACAGTTCTTCTTTACATATACTCTGCACTCCTCACTCATGCAATTTTGGCAAAATACTGCCATATGTTACAATCTAGCACTATTGCTGTATTGGTAGCAGTGCTAGTGGGAAGTTTTTGTAGGTTGCTCTTTGTAGGGATTATCTGTTAAATTACTAAATGTGAAAATGTAACAGAAATTACTCCATTATGCTGCTGTTGTTTTGGAATGCCATTAAATAATGGTGCCAAGATCTCACAAATTCTCACAGACAGTTATTGTGGAGCAGCTGAAGTACAAAGACAGCATGTACAGCACTCTTCACATTACCGCTGACTGCATAACAAAACCCTGATTCAGAACAAGCGCATCAATTCCAAAGGCCAAAATATGACTCCTTTAATGAAATCAACAAGCTGAACGGCTAAAAATTGATGTCAAGGACATTCAGAGACTGAAATGCTCGCAATGAGGCTCAGATGCAGTTTCAATTATAAAATATGAATGAATACAAATATGCGCAGAGTCAAATGTAGAACTAATGTTAAAGGACAATTCCTGCATAATTTCTGCATAATCCAATTTTTGAGATGTAAACAAAGTAATTCAGAGTGGTTTAATGTGAAATGGTGCATTGTAGAAAAACTTACCAGTTTGGTTTCTTTACAATGGTGGCGATGGGAACCAGATATCATGTTGTTTGCAACACAAATACAACCATTTTATTTCATATATAAAGCCACCAGCAAACCTATACATGTCTTAATATGTAATGGTGTAGTAGTAAAAAAAAAGTGCTAAACCCCCAAAAAATATGTTTCCTCTGGGTACTGTTTTGCCTTACAACATGAGAGAGACAGAAACTCTAAGTTCTATGGTGTGCACATCACCAACGACCTCACCTGAACCTTCAACACCACCTGTCCAGCCAAGAAAGCCCAGCAGCAACTTAACTTCCTGCAAAGGATGAAGAGAGCAAACCTCCCCAGTTCCATTCTCACTACAAGGGGACAATAGAGAGTGTTATGCTTTCTCGCTGTCTGGTATGGGAACTACACCGTCTCAGACCGCAGGACTCTACAGCAGATTGTAAGGACAACTGAGAATATCATCGCTGTGTTTTTCCCCACCATCAACACCCGCTGCCACAATTTCTCCATCTACAAGGCCGCCAGCATTGTGGACAACCCCTCCCAGCCCTATTCATGGACTCTTCACCCTCCTGCCATCTGGCAGAAGGTGCCAGAGTTGTATTTGAGGACATGAAGAGCTGACTGAGAAGCAGTTATGAACCATATGTTCCCGGTTTTATTCTCCGTTAAAGGGGAATTCCACCAGTTTTTTTAAAATTTGTACAGAACTAATTGGTTAAGACGTTAACAACGTCGTTCAGAGTGGTGTGGTGTGAAATACTCGCTGTAGAGAAACTTACCGAGTCAGAATTGAATAGAAACCACCAGAGGTCCACATCTGAAAAACTCCCTTACAGAAAGTTATAACACAAATTAGTACACTGCCTGACGTTTGAGACATTGTTTTGCTATAGTCTTGTGCTGAAGTTGTATCCTAAAACCGTATTGTTAATCCCTTTATTTTAATCCATTCATGGTGGAGGGGGGCAGGGTATTGTACAAAATAGTAAAGAAAACGTTTTTTTTTCACATTTACCACTTTTTTACCATCATCAACGTTACATTTAAAAAGTGGTGGTTTTGGATAGTAAATAAAATGGCTATATTAGCGCTGTAGACACGACGATTCCTGGTTCCTATCACCACCACTGTGAAGATATAAGAGTCTATTACTTACTCTACAACGAATCATTTTACATCTCACCACTTTGAATGACTTTGCTTACATCGCAACGACTGAATTATGCAATAAAAATTTTGAAAACGTCGGTGGAGTTCCCCTTTTAGGAGCGCAGCGCCTGTTTAGCTGAGCGCAGAGAGGAGGAGCTGCACTAGCGTTCATTCAGACAGCAGCTCTCTACTCGCACACAGAGAGTAATGAAGAGCGAGAGGGGGCGTTAATGCTGAACCTAAGGAGAAATACTTCAACTTGAAGGATTTCATTTTAACGGTGGAAAAAGGAGAAATGCTTAGGAACGAAGTAATACAGCGAGAGGAGAGGCTCTGGGAGAAGGTAAGTTAACTGGACAGATGCTACTTCATATTTGTGGCTAGCGTTCATATCCATTACACTTAGTGTAATTAATTAGCCACACAGCAACAATTTGCTAGTGACTTTAAGGCACGGCTTTGTGTTACAAGCATCAGCTTTTACGAGACTGATTTCTCCATTTTATCTGACTGTTTGCGGTGCAGCAATGCTTATAATGATTTTGATTATGGTCACTTACTTATAGCCTCTGAAATTGACTTTATTTATTTATTATGACAGCTTTTCAAGTAGGTCGGTCCAGCTGGAGATGGATTTCATCACTGATCCCGAGGATAATTCCAGCTTCCAATATAATTTATCTGGGATTGTTCATGCAGGTGCTTTTTTTCTCTCTCCTTTCCCATCCACTTGAAGACATTATTAAATCCATTTTCTTTGGACCATAAAAGGATTTAAACATAAATGACTTCTTCAGTACATTTAACCAATGAAGCCTTCAAGATAGCTGTTTGGTAAAAGTGGTGCATTGCATTTACTTGATTTAAGCGTGTGTATTATTTACACACAGATAAAACATATTACAACAACACATTTATTGGCAAATACAGGAAACCCAAAACACAAAACATTTTTTTTTTTATGCAGAAATGATGTCCACATTTAAATCAAGTCATTATGTCCATCACTTTTTTCATTGCATGCAGTCACACATTTATAGCTAGTCTTGAAGATAGATATGCATGATAATCAGGCCAGAAATCTGAAGTTTCTCTTGTGCTTCCTGCAGAGATCAGCGAGCCCTATCACAATGTGCTCATGCCAAGCATCTACGGTGTCATCTGCTTTGTGGGGATCATTGGGAACTGCATTGTTATCTACACCATAGTCAAGAAGACCAAGTTTCGGGCTCAGCAGACGGTGCCTGACATCTTCATCTTCAGCCTGTCCATTGTGGACCTGCTCTTCCTTCTGGGAATGCCGTTCCTCATCCACCAGCTGGTGGGAAACGGCTCTTGGTGTTTTGGAGCCACCATGTGCACCGTCATCACCGCATTGGACTCCAACAGCCAGACAGTCAGCACCTACATCCTGACCGTCATGACGCTGGACCGATACTTGGCCACAGTCCACCCCATCCGCTTTAACCATGTGCGCACCCCGTGCATGGCCGTCTCCGTGGTCAGCCTGGTGTGGATACTCTCCCTGCTCTCCATTACGCCTGTTTGGATGTATGCTGGCCTCATGCCTCTACGAGATGGCTCTGTGGGCTGCGCTCTTCTTCTCCCCAACCCGGCCACAGACACCTACTGGTTCACCCTCTACCAGTTTGTGCTGGCTTTCGCCCTGCCTCTGGTGGTCATCTGCGTGGTCTTCTTCAAGATCCTCAAGAACATGGCTGCCACAGTTGCTCCTCTTCCACAACGCAGTCTTCGCGTCCGTACGAGGAAGGTTACCCGAATGGCGGTGGCTATCTGCTTGGCTTTCTTCATCTGTTGGGCCCCGTATTACATCTTACAGCTGGCCCATCTGGGCGTCCAGCGGCCAAGCTTCGCCTTCCTCTATGCTTATAACATTGCCATTAGCATGGGATACGCCAACAGCTGCATCAACCCACTTCTGTACATCATACTTAGCGAGACCTTCAAGAGGCAATTCATTGTGGCCATCCGGCTGGGCCACAGGGACCTACGGGTCGATCCTGGGATGGCAGATGGCAGCGTGAGTCTACGCTTGGCGCCCGATGGGGCACAGCAGTCCCAGTCCTCCAGAGAGCTCCTGCCCGTCACGGTGGCTGTGCACTGAGAAATCCTAAGCCTCAGTAAGCTTCCCAGAGCTCCACAGGAGGTTAAGAGCGGCCCTTGGGGAGTTAGGATAAACCGCGCTGAACAGAACATTTTGAAGCTGTCTGTAATGAGCACCACCAAAAAAAAGAAAAACTTTCCAAAGTGAACACGTACAATGTAACGTTTTTGCTAACGCTAACAAACGTTCTTCCGTGCTGCATGTTATATAAGGGGCCACTCTTGCTCTGCTCGTCTCAGATGAATCTTCTTTAAAGACAGTTTGTGCTCTTGAGGATCAGAAGAATGTCTTGGGATCACTTCAAGGTTGAAAAAAGAGCATGACAGGGCTTTGAATTTGAACGCATTTGGCTGTAATTCATGTTTCAGATTCTACATGTTCATTCTTGGCTGGAGAAGAACAGTGCTAGAAGAAAACTAATACATTTCATAAATTTCTTGGCAGTGTGTGGTGCACTACTAAGAAATAATGTTGTTCTGTTTAGGTATTGAAAGAAAATGTGTATATAAAAAATTCCCTTTTAAATGTGAATGTGAGACACAGAAGGATTCCTCTGGGATGGAAGCATTTTATCCCTGAACCGCTGAGACTGGTCAGAAACATATTCTTTTTTCTCTTTTCCCAGACCTCAACATATGCCAGTGTCCATTATTTATCCGTAGCACAAGATGTGACATTGCCAATGTCGCATCGAATTCTGATTCTAGCTTTTATTCTAGTTTCACTTCCGAACAGAATGAATTGACACCTGATTAAATGTGATAAGTCCCACAGACTGGTTCAGAGTGACCTGGTAGTTCTAAAGCCAGACTGATTTGCCGGACGCTGTGTTCCTTTGTCTGCCTGCTGATTGCATGTCAAAGTTGTGCAGTCATGTGATTCAGTTGAAAGAGATGACAGACATTCATTTAAAATGCTGTCTGCTTCCCAAAAGAGAGGATTAATGCCAGTTCCATGGTGGTAAACTTCACACTGCTCTTGAAGAAAGCATCCTTTTTATTGTTAAGTGTAAATGTGGTATTGATGTTGATGTCTTTTAACCCTTAGAAGTTGTAGTTGTTGTTGGTAATAACAAAAGCATTAAAAAAAAACAGAGAAAGGTGAAAGTTCACTGAAACAAGCAGTCAGGGGTCCAGACTAGATGTGGGCGGTTCAGCATAAAATATATCACAATAACTCAATATATATTCATGATACACAAAATGCATCATGATGTTTAGTTTCCAGAGGTGAAAAAAACAAAACCCAGTAGAGCCACATTTTTAAAATATGCTGCTCTAAATTGACTTAACCAGGCCTAATTTATTTGTAATGAATCATGCAGTCACGCATCCCTCCAATTCCCAGAACCCTCTGGGTGAACACATCACTCTGACATTACAACACTCTACCTATCAGAGATCAGCCTCACCTGACTGTTGATATGCCTCACCTGTTTAGTTTGTCACATGATTTGTTTAGATAGCTTAGAAGCCCAGGCTTTACTTAAGTTCAGTGTGAGATGTTGCTTCTTTCACAGAGTTACTGAGTGCTCTTTCCTGTGATCGGGCTGACTTCCTGTGTGTGTGACTCACCCTCTGTATTTTTTCAACTCTGCCTTTTTGCCTGTTCCCTTTTGAGTATTGTTCACCTGGGCCTATCGTTTATGTTTGTTTGTTGTTGTATGTGGCTTATTTTGGATCTGACCTTTGCCTGTTTTTTGACCATGACTTTGGATCTCGCACAAACCAGTAAAGCCTCTTTTGTTAATTTTAATTGTCTGTCTCGTTACACATGCAGTTGGTCAGTGTTCTTTACGTACTGACAATATTCACCATATGTTCAGAAAAGCATGTCGCTGCGGTCGGAATAAAACCTCATACCTCAATTTTTGTCGTTTTTCAGTTTTTGACATAATTCGAAAATGCTTGTTGGCCTTTACACTGTGTGTTAATTTCACGATGAATGGACCAAAAGAAACGGCCCAAAATGACTTAGAAAAACCTCTCAGGTTTTGTTCCGACAGCAGCGATATTGTGATGCCCATCCCTAGTGTTTGTAAGTAGAAGATGAGATATTTTATAGGGAGGCACTCGAGTGCTCGCTTAACTGTTCGTGATGCCAGTATTTGAATAATGAGGTGAGTTACTATTAAACAGGAGTGCCTGAACGTGAACACCATGTTAAGGATGTGACTCAGATGGCAATAATAGTGTTTTTGCTAGGCTAACTATTCCTGCTGGTAATAGCTAAATCTAGAAATGGTGAACATATATTTTCTGTGACAAAATAACATGTAGGAACATTTTCCACTGAGGAGAAAAGTCCTCATCAGCATCCAACTTTTTACCACTCAGGGTTAGCTCATTAGCTCCTCTCAAGAGGCAGCTTCTGTTAAGATGACCATACACTACACAACTTTAAAATCCTAACAGATTTACAGAACGAAGAGCATCACACACTTAAGCTCAGTCTTTTAGAGAATTTCTTGTATTTTTGTTGAGAGCATACACACTGAGATAAGGCAATAAGAATATAACATAACGAGTTACATAACGAGGACTTAAATAATCGCAAAAAAAATGCAAACTGGGGATGAATATGCGGTTGAGAAATGCAGATATCACACTGAGAAGTGGAGACGTATTCTTCTATACACTGGCAGGTGAATTGACATTGTAAAGAGAGTAACTCTTTTCCTTTGTTCAACAAGCAGTTTCTTTATCTCCTCAGTCCGCTGTGTTCCTTTACTTTTTTCTTTCTTCTAGCTCTCTAACTGGCTTGCCTTAATCACCCGTTCAGTTACATTATTGACCTTCTCACATTACAGGCCTCGTCAATGTTTTGAGTCGCAAAAAATCATGTTTGAAAAAATAAGAGGGCCTCTGATTACGCAAGAGCTGGTTCAGAAGGCTGAAAACTCGTTTCTCCTTTCACACTACCAGATGATTCGCACTGTCAGTCCTTTCTGACCATGCCCCCCGACCTGGAAAATCGCTTCAAGGCTGTGAAAATTTGTTGAAAGGTGCAAATCGGGGTTAAAATTGGGCTAAGAATCGTGTAGCGTACGTCCAGCGTTACTCATCAGATACAAAACCTGCCAATTTCCATCTGCTATTTTTAAATAATAAAATGTTTTTTTAATTTTAATCTTAAAAAGTGCCATTAATCAAAAAGTAAGCTTCAGCTCTATGCTCTATTTTCCCCTTCTTGTTGTTGCTTTTTTCCTTCTCTGCAGTTAATCAAATCCAGTCATTAACTCTTACACATACTCTAATATCAAAATTAGCCAAAATGCATTTTTTTTGTATTTGATGAAATGTTATTGCTGTGTGTGGTCTTTCCATGTTTTTGCCATTTTTTGCAAAAAGAAGCAAGAGCACAGTGTCAATGATGCAAGACACTGCTCTTATGAAGCATCAGAAGCTTTTTGAGGGCTAACGGCACCCCCTTGTGGAGAGGTTTTAGCCTGCTAAACATGTGTGAGTTGCACACCAGTTCCATGAGGTGTTGTGCATCTAAAAATAAATATAGTATATATTTGCACTCCAGAACCAAAACTGTCTAAACAAAATTTAAACTGGATGTAAATGTAATTCATAATGTAATTATGTAACATGGCATATAAATAATGATGTAAATCAAATGTATAGCACAACGACAGTAATAACTCTAAGCTTCTAAGGGTTAACCTGGCTTTTGAAAGCATTTTCACTGCATACTGGAATCTTTGCATCTAATTACCTGATGGAACTAAATCTGTGTCAAATAAAAGTTCAGCTGTGACTGTTTTTTCGTTAGACCCTGTCTGTTCAAGTGTCTCTTGGCATAAATGTCAGAATAAAACTGTTGACTTCTAGTTAATGGCTGTGTGTAGGATTTTTCTAAAGGCAGGCTGCATTTTCTTCACTACGCTCATCCAGCTCTACTGCATGACAGATGAGAATAGCTCCTCAGTGTGTCTGAGCAACTCTAATAAGACAGATTGCTGCTATATAAGCTTACTTATCTGTTTCCTTCAAAATGAAAAGCCCCTTTTTAAAAAGCTATTTCTGTCATCTTGTCATGGGAGAATATGCTTCCAAATAACTACAGGCTGCCCAGCAATTATGATACAGCCAATAGTGGCTTCAATCAAAGGTGTAACACAGTATAATTTTTTTTTACCCGCCATTTAAATTGTAGAAATAATATGCTATGGAGATGGGACACAGTAGGGGGGTAGTTTTGATTAGGAGGTAACTGTGTTTTATTGAGTGCTGATTTGACTTTAGATATGACTAATATAGTCCATTCTCATGGCCCACTCCTGTTTAATTGCAATGACAAATTGCAAAGACCTTTTTTATTGATGCAAGATTACATTAGCTCAAAATATCAATGGGTTACAATATGAGGAAACATCTATGACTCATAATCTAAGTGTGCATTATTTGTGAACATGTACTGTATAATTATGTATCTTAAGTACATTCAATACGCTGGGAAACTCAGGAAGACCACATAATTATTGAATTTCCTGTCAAAAAGGCCATTATGCACATTATTAAGTTATTCATTTTCAGCATCAGAAAAAAAGTGGAAAACATGTGTTAAACAGAAAACTACACAGGAACCTCAACAACTAAATATAGTTACATTTTTTAGAATAGTGTGTTCACCCTTTGCCTTTATTACAGCTTCTTTTCAGGAGACCTGCTTTCAGTTTTTCAAAGAAATCTATTTTTCCACACCTCCGAAGTTCAGCCTGCTTTGGTTGTATTTTCTCCTTCTCACAATCCAAATAATCCCTGTTAGAAATTTAGACTCATCAGACCATAAAGCCTCCATATCTCAGGTGTCCTTGTGCAAAATTTCTTTTTTTGTCTATTTCCTTTTCTTACTTACTCTTGACAGCTACTCACCATTTCAGACTCATAGTGTTGAGTTGTGTCTCAGAAGGATGGACAGAAACACATTTTTTCAGATCTGAAGCAGAAGTGGAGCTTGATTTTCTTCTCTATCTTAAAGATGAATGCTTG